TTTTCTGAGACTCCTAACCAAATAATTTAAGAGCAGAATACTATGTAATCTTTAAAGAATAAACAATTGCAATGTTATGTCATTATTTCAGATCACAGAAAAGATGAAAAGGTCTCCACTAATAATAAAACTCAATAGAAAAGATAACAAAAAAGTAGGCGATGTTACTTATGCATATATATGTAACAATTTAAAGAAAATATTGGCAAAGAGAATCCTGCAATATGTACACTCTGACAAAGGAGAATTTATTGTATAAGTCAAAGTGTGGTTCAATATTGGAAAATCTAGAAAAGTTAACTATTTCGATTAATAAAATAAATTTAAAAAAATGCTTCACACTACTAAACTTGGTGCAATCGCATCACATCTTAAAAATTATGACAGTTCCCAACCAGTCAAAAAATAAAAAAAAATCCTCAAAAAAAATAAGTAAATAAATGATTAAAGACAATTTATCGAAAATGAGTAAAAATCACTCTAAACCATTTGCATTAAAATCATGAATAAAACCTGCATCTGCAATCATAATTCTAGCAAATACAGTATGGTAATAATACAATATAACTGGTATAAACATCAGGAAAAAGACAGAGTTATTTTGTCTTGACTACTATTTACATATAAAAACCCAAGTGAAATCAGTTACAATAAAAATTACTCCAATAAATCACAGAGTCTATTAATGGGTCTGGCTATAAGATAACGTTACAAAAGATTTCTGAATTGACAATAGCTACCTTAAAATAAAAATGAGCAAAATACTCTACTTGCAATACAAGTTTTTACAAGGCAAAAACAAACAAAAGTAGCTAGCACAGCCGTTTTTCCCAAATAAACAATTTAAAGCAAAAACCATAATGGAAAAAGAGGGATATTGTATACTGGTAAAAAGTAATAGCTCAAAAGCTTATTCTGAACACATATGCATTTAGCACGTTAACCTTGACATACACACAAAAAACAAACAAAAAAACACAAATCCGATGCCGTCGAGTCCATTCTGACTCATAGCAAGTCTATAGGACAGAGTCGAACTGCCTCATACAGTTTCCCCATAGTAATGCAAGGACAAATTCAAACTGCCGACCTTTTGGTTAGCAGCCAAGCTCCTAACCACTGCAGCCACCAGGGCTCCAAAGTAACTGACAAATACAGGAAGAAATAGGCAGTTTATGTTTTATACTTAAATATTTTAATACAACCCTCTTCTTAGGTAGATCAAAGAGACAAAAGATATGGCAAGATAATGGAAAAACAAAATAATTTTAAATTAACAGCACAGAGAATACTCCTAAAAGTTGAATGTGAACTAGAACATAAATTAGTTTTCATACTGCAAAAAAATCAACATCATACAGTGTTTTCTCTGATCATAATGCAAAAAGCAAAGCTTATGAAAAATAAGTTTGGAAACCAAGAAAAACGTAACACTTAATAACCATTTAACAATGAAATCAAAGAAATAAAAATATTTACAGCTGAATGAAAATGAAAACCCTGTGTCAAAACTAAAGCAACACAATGAAATTGGTACATTTTTAAAAAAACAAACAATAAAAAAAAGATGTCTGAAAACCAATAATAAGCACTCAATAACCTGGAAATAGAGCAACAGCGTAACCAATAAGGAAATAAATATGACAGTAGAAATCAATTGAATAGTTACCCATCCTCGTCCCCAAATCAGGATAATGGCAGGTATTTATGAACTAACTATACTAGAAAATTAGAAAACCTCAATGAACTGGATCAATCTCTGGAAAAATATAAAATGTCAATACTGGCAGAAGAAACAGAACTAGAATTGATCAATAAGCACTAAGTAGATTGAAATGGTAATACAAAACTTCTATCCTCAAAAATTATTAGGCTCAGTTAATTTTCAGTTGTGTTCTATCAAGCTGTTAAAAAACAAGTTATTCCTCCTTTATATAAGTTGTCCTAGGGACCAGAAAAAGGGAATACTGCTCAGACACAAACACCTAAATAAGATATTAGTAAAACAAATGTAGAAGAAATTAAGCATACACACATATGCATACATACACACACTGAACACACATAATTAGGGCTCACATTAGTAATGCAACGACAGATTAACGTCAACAAACTTATCTGCAGACTTTCACAACAGACTAAAGGAGATAGCTAAGCTTTCCCCAACCAAGATACATGATCCTCCTCTTAGCTGTCACAGAAAAAGCATTTGAAAATAAGTATTAAACTTTATCAACAAACCAGGACTAGAAGGAAGCTTTTTTAAACTTGACAAAGTGGTGCAGTTCGCACCTGACTACTAACCTAAAGGTTGGGCATTCAAACCCACCCATAAGCACCGTGAAAGAAAGGCCTAGGGATTTGCTTCCACAAAGATTACAGAGAAAATCCTATGAAGCATTCTACTCTGTAACACATGGAGTCACTATGAGTCAGATACAGCATCATATTTACTGAAGAAATTTTACACATATTCTCTTTAAGAGAGGAAAACAAACAAAGATGCCAGCTTATTACTGCTGCTGTTCACCACAGCACTGAAGGTCCTGACTAATACAAAAGAAATAGTAGTAAGAGATATGAGGATTAGGCGAGGGGCCAAAACTGTCGTTATTTGAAGATGACAGTATAATATACACAAAAAAACCCCCACTAAGCAACAAATCTGCTGGATACAGAATCACATATAAAAATGATCAATTATTAAGTATGACAGAAATTCAAAATAGCATCAAATCTGACAAAATAACTATAAACAACAGAATGAAGGATGCACAAGAGTTTACGGAGAAAGTTTTCACCTTTATTACAGAGCAGACAGAAAAAGAAGACCTAAATATCATGCTCACTGATGCAATGACTTAATATTATAAATATGTCCCTAGGGTTAATGTATAAATTAAATATAATTCCAATCAAAATACCAAAAATAGTTTTTTGAAGAACTTGGGAAACTGAGTTAAAATTTACATACAAGATACAGTGTAGGAAAACACATAAAAATCAAAAAAGCACTGGTATCTTTAAAAAAGGGGGGCAATCACAGAGTAAGATATACAGTACAATGCCATTTAGGGAAAAAAAATATAAATAAAAAACTATATAACCTTTCCCCAATACATACATGACTTAGGACATATATCTTATGTGGGCACCTATTGGGAAGAGTGACTGGGAGTAAAGGTAGAGGGTAAAGGGAAAAAAATGTGAGGGACTGTCCATGGATCAATGCTAACAGCCATAATCTGAAGAGAACAAGTAACTCAAGTTTGTGTACCAGATCTGAAAGAATGAAATAGCAAGTTTTCAAACAAATAAGCAGTATTTTTGAATGAGAAGACTTAACAGAATACAAAAAGGTCAATTCTCCCAAAATGAATGAAATACAACCAATTTTTTCCTTTTGAATGTGTTTATGTACGTATGTATGTATATGTATATGTATGTGTGTGTGTGTGTGTGTGTGTGTGTGTGTGTGTATACATACATCGTGTGTACAGACGTGTATATATATATTAAAAAATACATTTGGAGTGGAATAGGGGAATTCACATGCTACTATCTGAAAATAGCTATGAAAACGATGACGAGAAATCATAAAGACTTGCCTTACTAAATACAAAAGCAACTCTAGTCAAAAAGGTATAATATTGGATTAGAAAAGAGAAAAACGTGACAGTGGAAAGGAAATAGTCGATTGCAGAATACATGAGAACTTAATATGTAACAAAGACCATATTTCAATAAAGAGTGAAAAAATGGCTTGATAAACAACTGACATAACCAGATACATACACACCCTATAGATATTCGAGATGAATCAAACACTTAAGGGTAAAAATAAAGCAACGCAAATCTCTTAATATAGAAAACTTTATGAGAAACATGAGGGATGGGGAAGTCTTTGTAAAGTTTTGACAACCAATGCCACAGAGAAAACGAAAATAGCCAATCACATATTCAATCTCATTAGGAGCAAATAGGAACTATTTGCTTTACACCCATAACAAAGTAGAAGAATTTAAATGAATAATAATGTCTACTGCTGATAGGAAGGAGTCCTGGTAGCAAAACAGTTAAGCACTTGGCTGCTAAATGAAAGGTTAGAGGTTCGAACTTACCAGCTGCTCCCTCAGGAGAAAGACCTGGTGATATGCTCCCATAAATATTACAGCCTAAGAAATCCTATGGGGCAGTTTTACTCTGTCATACAGACTGCGACAGCACAAAACAACTGCTGATAGGGGTTCTTGGAGCAAAAGACACTGCTCATAGAAATGTGTATTTTATATCTTGGAAAAACATAAAGCTAGTTACATCTCCTCCATCCCAGAAATTTAGTCTTTAATCTTTCTTAGAACACCAGTGTGAAAGAATGAACTGTTTACAATTAGGGGATAGGGAACTCTAAAAATAAACTGAAAAACCAGCAATAAGCAAATGACTGAATAAATCACACTTCTATATGAGTGATAATTTTTTGCAATCATTTACAAGATTACATCTGTATTAGGAGACTTACACAGATTTTCACAACGAACTGTTTTAGGATGAATTTTACCTTTTTCTTGTAAACCTATGTCTGTTTCGTTTTCTCCCCAGTGAGCCTATGTTATTTAAATAAGCAGGTAAAATATGAAGCTATCATTTGTCAAAAATAAAACAGGCACTTATAAAAACTAACACTTATCTGATAAACTTTAATCTTAAAATGTACATAAAATGCAACAAGACTGTGCCAGTTAGATATCCCCATTCTCTGCTTTCAAATTACAATAAATAAATGGAATTAATGAATTTACTCTATCCCATTTCTCTCATTAAGTTCCATCAAAATCAGACTTTAAAATAAAGCACTCAAACAAATTTTCAACCTTTGGCAGAGAAAAGAAAGGAAAAAGGTTCAACTCAGCAGATAATCTTTAAAATAAAAATAAGGATCAATGTAGCAGGTCAAAGTATTAAATATATATATTCCAGAGGTTTAAAAGAGTACTTACTGCGCCAGATGTGGTACCTAAAAGATAAGACATACAATATTTACACTGTGGTAATTCACACTATTTTTAACAGTTTTAATATTTATTCATACTACTTCCTCCTACTTATCCCTACCCTGATACTATCCATATGACTTCTGTGCTTCCTCTCGTTTCCACAAATATCTATATATGATTAAAGCATTTTCCGAATTAAATGGTTCTTCAAGTTTTCAATCTCCAAACTCACCTGGACCCAGTGTGAGATGTACTTCCCTTTGCCTTTTATTTCTTGTCTCCTTGCAACAGGTGTCTACCCTGTCTACTTCCTCTTCTGCTGTATTACCAAAGTACAGTAAGACCTCTAATCTGATCCTTTAGATTTTTGGCAACTTCAACTATCTAGATTCCAGACTTGTGCTGTATAATACAGTAGCCATTAGCCACCACACATTCAAATTTAAATTAATTATGACTAAATAAAATTAAAAAAATTCAGTTCCTCAGCTGCAGTATCCATATTTAGTACTCAATAATCATGTGGCTAGTGGCTACTGTATTGGACTACTGAACAATAGAGATTACAGAGCATTTCCATTACTGCAGAAAGCTCTAGTAGATAGTGCTGTCCTAGACTATTATAGAAAACCCCTTAACACATAAGGGGAAATGCATATCAATCACAAAGCTCATCTAATTTAATTCATATCTTTAGAAACTAGTAAAACTATGTTAAGAACACAAACTGCATTATATTGACAGCAATGAAAATAAGCTACTATGGTCATCAATGGTAGAAACAAAGAATTTTAAAAGTAATTAACACTTTAAATTGATATTTCAGGATTACTTAGGTTAACAGAAACCTGCTCAAGATACCTAAAATAGGCTAAAAAAAATTATGCTAGGCATTTCAGAACATCATTTTAAGTAAATAAGGCAATTTGTGAAACATCTTAAAAATATCAATTATGTCCCACATGGACACGCATAAAAACACAGCGCATTTTAAACGTTTTCATCAATAATGGTTAAAACAACAAAAATTTTGGCATAATCATGGGATAAAGTTCAACATCTATTAAACATGTAGAACTCTACTCACGAATAATTCAGTCATTACTATTACACATTAAAGTCATTTTAGTCAAAACAAGCACTTATAGGTGACTTAAAAAATTATAACAGGGCTTACACACTCCAGTAAATACAAGGGGCAAGACTGCTAACAGAAAAATGACTCAAGTAGTCTGGAAGACCAACAAGTGATACGTGCTCCACATCTACAGTATGACACCTGCTCTTCTACTCCACAACAGTTGCTGACTACAAATATGGACTCAACCACAGTTCACTCATTTTCAGTAAGTATTTTCTGGGAATTTACTGTGCTGATTGAACCAGGATAAGCACTGAATATTTAAATCAACTTTTCAAGATAAATTCAATCTTCATGTAAAATCTGCAGAATGTAATGTTTGCAAATAATTACAAAATTTACAAATATTCTGTTAGCCAAAGCGTATCTGCAGACCAAATTTCATCTCAGAACCCTTGATTTAAAACTATAATTTCTTAAGAATTCAATTATCAGTGTGCATTCCTATTTTCCCGTGCCTTAAAAACAAACAAAAAAACCACAGCTGATTATAAAGTTCAAGAGACAATACATTTATCACTTATTATGATTTGTGGCACTCTCCAAACGAAGTCTAATGAATACCACTATACAAAGTATACATACCTGCTGCTACATCCATATTATTTACTCCTGGCTGTAAGAAGAAAAATGAAATTAATATTCTTATCGTTTAAATTATATTTTATATAAGTTCCCCATAAACCAGAGTGATCAATCCCTTTTACCCTGAATGAACATGAAGCTCTTTACAGTCTTTATTTATCCTACCGTAGAGTGAATGTCCACAAGTTTTGGTAGAGAAATATTAATCTGTTAGAACTATAGGATACTGTCCTAGATTCCATAGGAAGTTTGTACATATATACAGCATCCCATTCCCATCGAGTCGATTCTAACTCATAGCAACCCTATAGGACAGAGTAGAACTGTCCCATAGGGTTTCCAACGCTGTAAATCTTTACGAAAGCAGACTGCCACATCTTTCTCCTACGAAGTGGCTGGCAGGTTCAAACCACCAACCTTTTGGTTAGCAGCTGAGCTCTTAACCACTGCACTGCCAGGGCTCCCACTAGGGTTCTTTAATATATATATAATGTATATACGTACACGGTATATGTAATGTACAGTACATGTAACATATTTCAAAAATTCTGAATTTTGAAGTACATCTTGCCCTAAGGGTTTTGGATAACACATTTGAAATGACTACTTTCAGTGGAGTATGCCACATCTACTTATTACAACCACTAGTCTTATCAGGCAACAAAGAAGTTAAGCTAATTCAAAAACAATGGTTTATACACTGCTGTATACCAAATAAGGGTGTTAAAGCTGCTCAGTGATTTTCTAAGTAATTTGCTACAAGGTTTGAAGAAATAAATTTCAAACTGTTGTTGTTGTGAGGTGCTGTCAAGTTGACTTCAACTCATATTGACCCACGTGACAGACTAGAATTGTCCCATATGGTTTTTTAGGCAATAATCTTTACAGGAGCAGACTGCCAGGTCTTTCTCCCACGGAGTTTCTGGGTAGTTGCAAGCCGTCAACCTTTCAGTTAGCAGCCAAGCAGTTAAATCTCCTAATTTCTAAATCTAGGATCTAGTATTAAATCACAGAATATCAATTTTTAATTAGCTCTAAGTAAAGTAAATGTAAGGAGCCCTGGTGGTAGTGTTAAGTACTGGTCTGCTAACCAAAAGGTTGGCGGTTCGAACCCACCAGCTGATCCGCAGAAGTAAGTGCGGCAGTCTGCTCCCGTAAAGATTTACAGCCTTGGAGACCCTATGGGGCAGCTCTGCTCTGTCCAGTAGGGTCACTGAGTTGGCATTCGATGGCAATGTGTTTGGTTTGGGTTTAAAGTAAATGCCTATCACCCTTTAAAGATTAAAATCTTATCAGGCCAACACCATGCTGCTAGCTAACAAAGTAAGCTTCTCTGTATTCTGGTCTTGTCTAATGAGGAATAATTTGTTAATTGAAGATGTGCATATGTTACAATATCAATATAGGAAAAAACATAAACGTCTATCATTTAAGTTACAGAAACCAAAAAGAAAAGTATACGATAATTCCCATGTCACGTTAAGTAACTCAACCAGAGGCACTGAAATGGCTAACATAACTATCTATAAAGTGCGTATATACTATTTCATATATAAAAGCAATTAATAAAAACATCACAGAAAGTAAGATTACCGGTAAAGCAGGCTGCATGGAAGCCTGAGACATATGAGACATCATCATCCCAGGCATTACTGAAGACATCATTCCAGGCATCTAGAATAAAAGTGAAAAAAGGTTACTCTACAAAACCAAAGCACTTAATATAACCTTAATAATCTATCTGGTTATTGAAGCTAGTATGCACAATTTAAGGTTGAAAACCACTGATTATTACACTATATGCATAGTATGCTTAGTAAGTGCTTGTTGAATGAATGAAGTACTTTATCAATTATCTATTTTAATATTTATGTCATAGTTTATATGCAAAGTCAAAATTATTTTAACAAATGAGTTTATAAGTTTATTATTTCTAGCCTACGCTTAAGAAAAATACTAATTTCCTCTTAACACAACCCTCATGTACTTCCCCTGTGGAGCAAGACAAATTAAAATTACAAAAAGTTTTTTTTCCCCAATATTTTCCCCTTTAGTTTTTAATACTGTTGTTGAATAATTTTACAGCAACTGGGTCCTTTTTATGTAAAACCTTAAATCAAAGGGTCTTAAAATCCAAACAGTGACTTGGGGGAAAAAAAAGAAAAAAACAACAAAACACCAACTTTTCAATCACAAATTATCTATCCCCTCTCTTATAAGGAAAAATTTAATAAGCACATACAGAAATATATGAATAAAGAAGACATTAGTTTGACAGTTTAATCTAGTTTACCAACGACTGCCATTCTAATCTATAAATTAATCTTCTCTACTGAGTATAAATAAAAACAATGAAGACTAACAAAGATTTCCAAAGGAGACAAAAGACCCATATTAGTATAATCCCACACTACAGTTTTGACCTTAAATGATTAAATCTAGAAAAAAATGAGGTAGGAGGAATCTATATTTAACAATCTCAGGTGTCAGAACAAGGTAACCAGCTATACTAGTTATTTAACACTTTCAAATTAAATGTACAATCTAAACAATAGGAGCAACAAAAAACAAATAAGCATATTAGTCAATAGTAACATATAGATTAAAGCTTACAAAAGGCAGAGAAAAACATCCACATACTACATTACTTGTGAAATTGAACTCATGAAGCAAAACAAGGCTAAAGGACCTATATTAAATGAAGTAGCATGATGTAATGAATTAAAATACAACCAAAAAAGTAGTTAAAGACAGCACTGAATAAATCATAAATTAAAAAAACAACAACTAAACACTTGACAGACGTTGTGTGAATAGAAATAGAATATATGGTCCAAATAACAGTTTAAAAAAAAAAAAAAAGGTACAGAATTTGAAAACAAGTGTCCAGCATCCAGACTGCTTTAATTAGAGAAATGACTGATATATTAAGAGAAAAACAGATCAATCAAAATGACAGACCTAGGCTTATCCCTCTCCCTCTTTGGAACAGATTTACCTTTAGAATTTTGCTTTAGGATAAAAGCAAAGCAAATTTGAATTCCTTAAGGGTACAGTAACTACTTATGGAGGGGACAGAGGTGGTTCAGTGGTAGAATTCTCACCTTCCATGTGGGAGATTTGGTTTGATTCCCAGCCAATGAACCTCATGCACAGCCACCGCTTGTCTGTCAGTGGAGGCTTGCATGTTGCTACGATGCTGAACAAGTTTCCGTGGAGCTTCCAGACTAAGACGGACTAGGAAGAAGGCCTGGCGATCTACTCTGAAAATCAGCCAATGAAATCTCTATGGATCATAACGGTACCATCTGAAATCACTGATCATGGGGAAGGTGCAGGACCAGGCAGTGTTTTGTTCCGATGTGCATGGTGTTGCCATGAGTCAGGGACCAACTCAAGAGCAGGTAACAACAATAATAATCATGGGGAAAAGGAATCCAGAAGCATGCTGGGCAATAGAGAGAAAACAGACTGCTATTTAACATGGCCTGCCTGCATATAAATCAAAAGCTGGTAACATATCCAAACTAAATTTCTAAGCTAAAATTGAAAAACTGGTTTGAAAACTTAAGAGAAAAGCAAACCAGAAGATTTTCCCATAAGAATTGAAGACATTAAGAAAAATATCTTCACAATGCAAAAAAAATTCTTAGCAACAGTAAACATTACAAATAAAAGTATATTTTAAATTGAAATATTCTGACTTTGTAAAACACACATCAAATCTCGTTTAGAAATCAAAAAAGCCTATATACATATAAAAAAAAAGTTTACTAGACCAGGACAATGAGACAAACTGCAAACAGCATTTGAAAACCATTAAAGAACATATATAATTTGATAGTTACAGTTCTCTCCTTAATTTTCTTCCCACACCTCAAATTTTAAAAACATCTCAAAAATTCTTTTTGACTGAACTCATGGTATCGATTATAAAACGAGTTTTAATGTCAGATAAAAAGCCATATTCTCCCTCAGTATCTCTGTAAATTCTGGGAGGCAACTTGTTAACTTTGTTCAACCTGACCACCTTATCTGCAAGATTCTTAAATTATGTACAACTGAATATTCTAAAAATAAAAATATAACTTTAAAACAAAATTTTTGTTATAAACATGAAACCAAAGATCAAAAATGTAAATATTCAAAATACTGTTATTTCTTATGAAAAGCTATTAGTAAACCAAAACCCAAACTTGTTGCCATTGAGTCAATTCTGACCCACAGTATCCCCATGTGCTACAGAGTAGAACTGCTCCATAGGATTTTCTTGGCTATAATCTTTAAGGAAGTAAATTGCCTAACCTTTCTTCTGTAGCACTACTGGGTGTGTTCAAACCACCAACATTTAGGTTAGTAGATGAGCACAAATCATTTGCGCCACTCAGGGATCTAAAGCTACTGCTGTTGTTTTGTGATGTGAAGTCAATTCCGACTCATAGTGATTGTATATCACAGAGTACAACTGCCCCATAGGGTTTCCTAGGCTGTCACCTTTCTAGGAGCAGATCACCAGGTCTTTTCTCTGGCAGAGTTGCTGGGTGGGTTCAAACTGCCCACCTTTGTTAGTAGCTGAGCCCTTAACCATTGTGCCACCAGAGCTACTACTAGAATGTGATAAATTTAGAGCTCTCCTAGAGGCTTGAGTATCATAGAAAAGCCTGTGTAAAAATGGCGTGGCGGCAGCATCACTGTCCGACCCCTTTGTCTAACTTCACAAGGGAGAAGAACCAAAATCATCAGCCCGTGGCTGATTCCTATGAAAGAGGTCAGGCATACCTCCTCTCTCCAACATTTTTATCAATTCTGACACCAGCTGTCCCTCCCACGGCACTCTCTACTTCTCTGCTTGGTTCAATAACCCATTGTAATGGCCATACAGAACTCATAGACAATACTCATGATTATGGGGTTTATTAGGGAAGTAACAAATTACAATTCAGGATCAGAAATGACTCAGCGTACAGTTTTTTGGTCAGTTTAGCTTCTCGGCCGTGCCCACAGGTAGGCTTCTCCCTGGCCCTCAGCCCCTGGGGTCTCTTGGGCTGGCCTGGACTTTGCCCTGCTGGGCAAGTGTTAGTGGCTCTTTAACTCCACCAATAAGTGCCCAGAGACACCCCACTCTTGCCAGTAATCCTTGGCTCGAAGGAGCTCAAGCTCTCTAGCTCCGTAGGTCAGCGAGCCTAGCTCTGCCAAGTACCCAGAGGCACTCCAGTTCATCAGCAAGCCTCCTGCCCAAAGGTGTTCAGCTTTCTCACTCCGTGAGCTGGAAAGCCCACAGCACCATCTCCTGCTGGTCTCCTGGTTCTGCTGCTGCCGGTTCTCTGGGCACTTGTTACCACTTCTTGCCCTCCTGCACCATCTCTGGTGTTAGAGCGCTGTCTCTTGGATCTAGGTAGTTCTCAGTGCAGGGACCCCAAGTGCAAAGGATACACTCCGCTCCTACCTCTTCCTTCTTGGTGGTAGTGAGGTGCCCCCTCTGCTCTGGTACTGGCTCTCTTTTCAAGCCTAGCAAATGGCAAAACTAACCAATCCCCTCGTTACGGTTCCATATACCTTATTTGCATGGCCCTACACCACAAGTGTGCCATACATTTTATTTGCATTATTAGCAAGCTATCCAATCCCCTTGGTAGGTAGAAGCACCTTATTTGCATAGTTCCACCCAATCATTTGTTGGGTGTTACAAGACCATGGCTAGAAAGGCCATATAAAAGTGATCCACTACACCACAGCCTGTTCTTTGAGGCCTGAAAAACCTACTTTGTGGAAATGTTATAATGATTCCTATTTTTCATTAATCCTAAAATACACATAATAGCATGGAAATTTTACAATCCCTGTCCCAAACAAAACTGAATTCTTTCAAAGATTTGTGTTCACTTATGTCAATCACTTAGTAGCACCACCAATCTGAGATAATTTACATTTCCTAAATTGTGGGGTTTTCTTTGTTGTCGTCGTCGTTTGTTTTGTTTGAATTTTAACTATACCACAATGATAAAGGGAATCTAGGCTGCAAGTGTATGAGAATCAGTCTGTGGCTGAAATTCTCAGGAGTAATTTTCCCTCCCTTCACCTATAATTGAAGTTGAGACTTTCAAGTCACTGTGCTGTCCCTTTTTGCATGGTAGGTTTACGTCTCATTTGGCTTCATATGCAGGGTACAGCCCTTTGGTGGCCTACCTTTATTTGCAGCCTTTTAGAGTTCCCATTTTAGGTACTTTTTTTTATCTCTTAGGGAACATAAAATAATGCAGTATTTCACCACCAATGACACCTTAACCTTAAGTTTGATGAAAATGAGATGGTGGTTGAAAATGGTTAAAGGAAAGAACTCAATTTGGTTGCTACACAAATGCTACAACAAACTTCATGAGCCAAATCAATCTTAAAGCTACAAAGCGGTAGTTCCTACTACCTTAATATGAAGCATTCTATAAAATCAAAACCACATACTTCTTTACAAATTCCCATTTAAACTACTTTGTGTTCTAATTAAAGATCTTTAGTTCTTAGGATCAGCGAGGGGAGAGAGAGAGAGAAAGCAAAAGACATATACAGTAAAGCCTGCAACAGCTGGAACATGTATGAGGAAACCTGTCAGAAGGAAAACAGAAACATTTTCCACTAAACCAAGCGACAGAGTGGTAAGAATGCACCCTGTCAAAGGT